CAGATGGGACATTGACCTCTTTATTCCAATTCCATTACTATTTTCACTTTAGCCATGGCCATGTGAAGAAACTTGTCCCTGTTACTTGTTTTTTAGAATGCTCTGGATAATTCCTACAAATGTGAATTTTAGCTTAACTTTGATGCCTCAGTCTTTTTAAGGGAAACATCATGATGAAATGTTGGCTGAGAGTTATCTTTATATTAATTAAACATTTTATTCTCCAGGCGATTGAATCAATCAATTTACATGCAAGAGGAAGAAAAGAAAAATGCTTAGATTCCTTTTTTAAAGTATCTCCAGAATTTCTAATTTTATAATTTAAGGATCAATGAATGTTGTTTGTTTTCACACATTTCACATATGTTCCTTTTGCTTAAATAACTCAATTTTCCCGTTCTTAAACTTTTAATTTGTGCCAATTTGGATAACATTTCAGAAAATATATACCTGTTGATAAATTGTAGTGTGTCAATGGTGAAAACTGATTTACTTTCCTTTTTTTTTTTTTTTTTTAAGCTGAGCCATCCTGCCACCTGTTGGCAGTTCAGTGGCTGCTCAGCTCAGGCCAGGAATCGAACTGCTATTGCTCAGAGCTCAAACTCTTGAGTGAGCTCTTAACCAACTGAGCCACTCGGCTGACCCTGGTTTACTGTGCTTTAACCAGCCCGATGTGCCTCTTTCAATTAAACCATTTTGTCTTTAGATGAGATAACCTATTTTAAAAATCTATATTTCTTGGCAGGTTGGTCCTAAGCTGGACTATGCCTTACTAGCCTCATCTTCCACAACCCTCCCACATGTACGTTACACTTCGGCTATATCAAACTACTTGCTGTTTTTAGTACCAGATATATTTTTATATCTCTGCCTTTGACCTCCTTTGTCTGGTAAACTCACGATGTCTGTCATTCAGGATTCAGTTTAAGTGTCATTTCCCCTAGAAAGCCTTCCTTTAAGCCTTCCTGAGCTCCCTGATAGAATCAGATGACCCTTTTCTGTGCCCCCAATGAATACAATGTATATCTCTATTACTGTGCTTGATATACCATATTGTAATTATTTGTTTACTTTCTGACTTTCCCCTAATATTCTTTAGTAGTGAAGGTTGGAGAGATTGATTTAGGCAGGGGCCAGATCATGCAGGGCCTTACTGTAGGCCAGAGTATGTACATAATTTATAAATAAATATGCATTTATGGGGTTGCCAAAATTTTTTTGCTATCAAAATTGGGAGACTACTTCTATAGACTAGACATTACCCTGCCTTGTAACCAGATATATATATTTTAAAATGCAAAACAAATCATGTTAGTCCTTGTATGTATGGATATGGATATAGTCACCCATTGGTCTACACAAGATTGGTTCCAGGACCCCCCTCAGATACCAAAATCTTACAATGTTTAAGTCCCTTATATAAAATAGCATTAGTATTTGCATATAACCTGTGCACATCCTCCTGTATACTTTAAATCATCCCTAGTTTATAGGCATACCTTGGAAATATTGTGAGTTTGGTTCTAGACCACCACAATAAAGCAAATATCACAATAAAGCAAGTCACATGAATTTTTTGATTTCTCAGTGCATCATATTAAAGTTATGTTTACACTGTACTGTAGTCTAGTAAGTGCTCAATAGCATTATGTCTAAAAAAACAATGTACATACCTTATGTAAAAATAGTTTATTGCTAAAAAAAAAAGCTAATCATCATCTGAGCCTTCAGTAAGTTGTAATGTTTGCTGATAGAGGGTCTTACCTTCAATTTGTAAAGAATGCAGCATCTGTGATGGGCAGGACAGTTAAGTGCAATAAAATGAGGTATGCCTGTTCATTAATGTTCATAGCAGAACTATTTGTAATAGCCCAAATGTGGGAAAAACCTAAATGTCCTAGCCAGTTCAAGCTACCATAACAAAATACCATAGACTGGGTGGCTTGAACAACAGACATTTATTTCTCACAGTTCTGGAGGCTGGGAAGTCCAAGATTAAGGTGTTGGTCTATTTGTTTCCTGGTGAGAGCCCCCTTCTTGGCTTGCAGATGGCCACCTTGTCCCTATGTCTTTCCATGGCCTATTTTTGTTGCATACATGTGGAGAGAGACAGTGAGGTCCTGTCTCTTCCTCTTCGTATAAGGACACTAATCCTACCATGAGGGCCGCACCCTCGTAACTTCATCTAACCCTAATTACCTCCCAAAGGCCCTACCCCCAAATACAGTCACATTGGGGATTAAGGCTTCAACATATGAATTTAGGGGGACACAAACATTAAATTTATAACAGTGCCCATCAACTGGTGAATGGATAAATAAAATGTAGTACATCCATACAAAGGAATATTATTCATGAAAGGAATGGGTTATTGATACATGCTATAACATGAATGAACCTTGAAAATATTATATTAAGTGAAAGAAACCAGATAGAAAAGACCACATATTGTATGATCCATTTATATGAAAAATCTAGAACAAGCAAACCTATAGAGACAGAAAATAGATTAATGTTTGTGTAAGGCTGAGGAGAGAGTGGGGAGGTTTGAGGAGAAATAGGGAGTGACTGCTAATAGGTATAGGGTGTCTCTGAAGTGATGAAAATGTTGTAAAATGAGATAATGATGATGGTTGCACAACTTTAGGAGCATACTAAAAACAATCAAATTGTGCACTTTCAATAAATTAATTTTATAGTATGTGGATTATATTTCCATAAAGCTAATAAACTTTAGCAAACATTGGTGGTTTGCTTTAAAGTGACAAAATATAAAATATTGTGTAGAGAAAGGTGATGTTGTTCTTACATTTCTTTACATTCCCAATGGGCTGTTGAAAGGAAATAAATTGTAGTGATCTCTAAAAAAATCAGACTTTCAGTGCTATATAATAAACTCCAAGAGAACATTTGAAAAAGTTTGGATAAAAACATTCCTTAAGTGAGGCATGATTAAGCGGCCAGTCTCCCTTTCAGGATGAATAGGCATCCACTTCATTTTTATTTCTTAACTTCACAGAATATTGGATGACGTTAAATAACTCACAGAGGTTGTTTTTTCCCCCCTTCCAATAATTTATCTAGCTTTGTGCCTTCTAATTTCTTCTGTGGAAAAAAGACACCAACCATCCTACTTCCTTAGTTTTCTAGTAATACAAGTACAATAACTTTTTACTTCTCTAATCTCATTTTGAGCAGTAAAAAATATGATAATATGTATAGTGTTTTTTAAAAAAAAAAAACAAGAGTAACAAAGATTTTGAAATTTTTCTCAAGTGGCTTCATACAAATTATTTGGCAACACCTCCTTTCACCGTGTTGGTTGAGCTAACTAGTATATATCCTTCAGGCTCACTCCTCTGGCATCATTCTTGCGTTCCCTGACTTCCTCCATAAGTGCCCCTCTCATGCGCTCTTTATCATATCTACTTGTACTGGCCTCTTCTGTGTATCTATCTGTGTCCTCCATTAGACTATATGGTTCATTAAGGCCCAGGACTGGATCTTTTCTTTGTACCTCAGCATCTATAACTGACGACTTGGGCAAAGAGGAGATGCTCAGTAAATGCTTGTTGAACTGAATTTAATGAATCACAGAAGCTCAATGATCAGAGGTGATAGGGGTTGATATTTGGTCAGTTAATTTTTAAGAAGTCAAAGCATACAATTATTGAAAACAATATATACCTACATTAAAGGTTTATTTATTTATTTTTTTAAAGATTTTATTGGGGAATTGGGGGAGGAGAACAGTATTGGGGAATTGGGGAAGGGAACCAGCCAAGTTGTTCTTCAGTCTTCATTGTGAAGGGCGCCAGTTGCCATCTGGCTTCCCGTCAGCAGCTCGTGGCCTCTAAGGTCAAGGTGCTGAGTTCAGTCTTAGTTGCAGGTGGGCATAGCCACCATCCCATGCGGGAGTCAAACCAGCAGCCTTGTTGTTAAGAGCGCGCTCTCTATCCACTTGAGCCATCCGGTTGGCAGCTCAGTTCAAGGTGCCGAGTTCAGTCTTAGTTGCAGGTGGGAGTAGCCCATCATCGAACAGGCAATCTTGTTGTTACACCAGCTGAGCCATCCTGCCACCTGTTGGCAGCTCAGTGACAGCTCAGCTTGGGTGCAGCATCACTGTCCCATGTGGGAATCGAACCAGTGGCCCTGTTGCTCACAGCTTGCGTTAAGCCAACTCTTAACCAACTGAGCCACTCAGCCGGCCCTTAAAGGTTTATTTTAATTAAAACATATAATTGTATCATCTTTGACAATTATTTGATGTAGGGCATGGGCTTTGAATATGAGGTTGTAATTATAGTTTTACTTAGTGTTTCTTGGATCAAAAACAAAGAAAAAAGTTTTAAAACCCTAAAATGAAAGCAGTTTATTTAAAATAGAAGCACTTGGGAAGAACTTTGGTACACGAATTCTGTATAGAATCTTTAGATTTTTACTATTTTTCATAATCTGTAACATAACCTTACCCACACCTAATTCAATAGCTATTTTTATTAGCAATTCACTTTTATTGAGTCTGTTTTAAGCATTTAAAATAGTTTTTGTAGAAACAGCACCTCTTTTTGCAGACATAGTTCTGATAACTAAATACAGTGGCATTAACAGGTTTGGGAACAAACATAACTGGCTGACTCTTAGTAAGCATATGGTTCAGCTATTTGAATAAAAAATGCAAAGAAGTACTGAAGAGTAGCTAACCAGCTATGAACATTAAAGCTTACTATGAATACCAGGCAATATATTTCATAAAAACAATGGAGAATATTAATTAATAAATCACTTAGTGGAGGGAATTTAAGAGAACTTATACTGTACTTGTTTTTTTCTATACCAAAATTTTATTAATTCTAGAGCATATGCAGAGCCTGCTATAACCTGCCTCTAGATGTCATAAACTTTGTTCTTAAAACTCAGTGCTTTGAAATGTCTTAGTGTCACTCTGGCCACCTCCAAAGAATTTTATGTAATTGTTTGTTTGTTTGTTTTAATTTCAGTGGTAGGACTGGGATCCTGGTGCTTCCACATGACTCTGAAATATGAAATGCAGGTCAGTAATAGCAAAATTTACTAAATGCTTATTTCTCCTAATCCAGAGACACTTCAAATTTGAGAAAAGAGCACGTTGCTACAGGATGGTATCAAGATAAGAGACTGGGGAAAAAAAAAAAAAAGATGGGATTTGTAGTCTGGACTTTTTACTTCGGGCCAGAGAATCCAGATTGACTAAGTGAAGTAAAGAAGCAAGCAAATAAGTTGTCCATAGAGAAAGCAAGTGAGAGCATTATTTTGACCACCTTTGTGCAAGCATGTACAATTTTAGAGCAGGATTAAAGAGCAGAGTCCCATGGAGACATCTTAAAAAAAAAAAATCAATTCACCAAAATAACACATTCTTATTCTTAGATGCCTACATTCCCTATGTCTATTATGGCATCCATTTGAATGATCTGGTCCCTCTATCTAGCAAGGTTTTAGAGCTATGCAAGGATTTTTGTCTACTGCCCTTGTTCAAAAGAGGCCATAGACCTAGTCCTCATCTTTTGATTTTTTTCCCATCACAAACCCAGAAACTTCTAGAACAGTACTGTCCAGTAGGAATATAATGTGAGCTACATATGTAATTTAAAATTTTCTAGTAGCCACATTTAAAAAGCTAATTAAAAAGAAATAGGTGAAATTAATTTTAACAATATGTTTTATTTAGCCCAATATATCCAAAGTATTGCTTCAACATGTAACGGATATAAAAATTTATTAATGAAATGTTTCACGTCCTGAAATCAGGTATATATTTCACATGTGCAGTATATCTCAGTTTAAATTAGGTTTATTTCAAGTTCTCAGTAGCCACATAAGGCTAGTGGCTACTGTATTGGACAGTGCTATTCTGGAAGGATCTGTGTATATAACAGTCTATAAATGATTAATTGCAGCTATGTTTAATGTATAAGAATTCTTAGAATTGATTCTAATATTCAATACATATTTATGATAAGATGTCAAATGCATGCTGTGCTGTGCCAGCCATGCTTGACTTGGAGAATATGCAAATGAATAACTTACTGGCCTGACCTAATTGAGCATAGAACACACTTCTTCTCACACTTTTTGCCTGGGAGAACAGACTCATAAACAATGATACAATATGAAAATTATTTTTAAAGAAGTAAAAATAACCTATGGCAACACCATGGAGCTTAGAAGAATCTATAAATTAAAGACATTTAAACAGAATCTGAAAGAATTAGTTGAAACTTTTTAGGTAGTGAAAGGATGAAATGACATGCCAGAGTTACACTATGACATAAACAGAAACGGAATAATTACAACATGTCGTGTATCTAACAACAGTGATAAAGCTAGAACTTAAAATGTATTTGAAGAAATGGTGAGAAATGGCAAGAATGATATTCAAAATATTTAACAACTGTATGGTGAGAATACCAACAATCAGAATAGTGATACCAGTGAGCAACAGCTGAATAGTAACCCTGATAATAAGGTCTTGCATATTATCACACTAAAAATTGATTGGAATTTGTCCAGCTCTAGCAATTATTAAGTGCTTTCATGTATAGTATCTTAGATAATTACGACTCACATTTTACAAATTCCAGTACTAGAACTGAAAGAGGCTAATTGATTTGACCAAAATCACCCACAGTTTATAAATGATACATCTCATATTTATTTTTACATATATACATAATACATGTATACATACATATTTCTATACATACATACATATATACATTCATTTTCCTCCAGCTCTGTTCATGAGAGGACCTGGGAGCAGGGAACCCCAATACCAAAGAGCATACCTAATGTCTAGATCTGATTTCTAAAAATCATTCCCCAGTGAAAGGAACCACGGCTGACTCCAAGAGCTGGCAGAAAAAAGGGCAGTATGAGCCGGGAATGTGATTTTGTGCCAGAAAGAATGGAAATGCTAAAAGAATGATGGGGACATGTCAAAAGGACATGAAGTCAACTTGAAGGAATTCCCATTGGCCAAATTTGTGACAATTTGAGCTCAAAATAAATAATGATAGCAGATTATAAGTTATCAAACCCATTGAATAAAATGGGCAATCATGAGTCCATATTAAAATAATACATGATATAATAAATGAAACAATAAGTGATTTAAAATAAATGAATAAATTAAAAGTTTGATGTTCAATTTACATAGTTTCCAAGTACCTCACCACAAAATAATTATAAAGGGAAAAGCAGTAACTTTGTGGTGGAGGAGCATAGCAGACAACATCTTAATCAAGGAATCACAATGAATATCTTCAGTAATGGGACAAATCAAAATTATATGCTACCTGATAGGATACAGTGGCAAGAACATAGCATCACTTCTCTGGTATTCTTGCCAAAGATGCATTATCTGAATCTATTAGTGTGGAAACATCAGGCAAAGTCAAATTAAGTAACATTCTATAAAACACCTGGCAGGTAGTCTTCAGAAGACTGAGGAACTGTTCAAGATTGAAAGAGAGTGAAAAAGAACAAAAAAACAAAATAAAAAACCAAATAGAAGGGAAAAGAAAGAGAGTAAAAAGACATTACAACTAAATACAATGTGTGATTCTGGACTGGGTCATGTGTGTTTGTGTGTGTTTATGATATTATTGAGACACTTCGAAAAACTTGAATGGGGTCTGAGGATTACATGGTAGTAATAAATCAATGTTAATTTCCTGATTTTTGTTGGTAATATTATAGGTATATAGGTGAATATGTTTTTTTAAAGATATAATTTACATACCGTAAAATTCACCCTTTTAAAGTATACCACTATCTAATTACAGAGCATTTCATCACACCAAAAAGAAACCCTATGCCCATTAGCTGTCACTCACTCCCTGTTAACTCCCTCCACCTAGCCCCTGACAACCACTAATCTACTCTATCTCTCTATGGATTTGCCTGTTCTGGACATTTCATAACAATGGATCACACAATATGTGACCTTTTGTGTCTGGCTTCTTGCATTTAAGCCAAATAATATTCTATTGTATGAATATACCACATTTTGTTTATCCATTTATTAATTAATGGACATTTCAGTTGTTTCTACCTTTTGGCTTTTATGCATAATGCTGCTATGAACATTCATGTATATGTTTTTATAGATGTATATTTTAGTTCTCTTGGGTATATACTTAGCAGTGGGATTGCTAGGTCATATGGTAACTCTATGCTTAACCTTTTGAAGGAGATGCCACACTGTTTTTCAAAGTGACTGTACCATTTTACATTCCTGCCAGCAATTTTTCTGTATCCTTGTCAATACTTGTTATTGTCTGTTTTTTTATTACATTCATCCTAGTGGGTGTGAAGTGGTATCTCATTATGGATTTGATTTGCATTTCCCTAATGACTAATAATGTTGAGCATCTTTTCATGTGCTTATTGGCCATTTGTATGTGTTCTTAAGAGAAATATCTATTCAGATTCTTTGCCCATTTTTTAATTGAATTATTTGCCTTTTTATCATTGAGTTCTTAATAAGTTCTGGATACTATACCCTTACCAAATATATGGTTTGTGAATATTTTATTCCATTCTGTGAGTTTTTTCACTTTCTTTCTTAATATCCTTTGAACAAAAAAAGTTTTTTATTTTGCTGAAGTCCATTTTATCTATTTATATGTCCCATATATGAAGAAACAACTGGCTGAATGTGCTGAGGCAAGATGTCTGGCAAGACTAGGCATCTAAGGGAAGGAGGTATACGCTCCCCTTCTGTGCACTGATCAGATTGTGATGAGAGTATTGCATTTGGCCCTGAGGACTGACCTGGCAGGTGTTCAAATGAGAGACACCAGAGTGGTGAAAGAACTAAAAATCTAGCCTGAGGGGAAGGAACAGGAATACAGTCTTAAGCTGCTTAATGATGGGGATATCTGAAAAATGCATCATTAGATCCTTTCACTGTGTGAACATTGCAGTGTACTTACACAAACCTAGATGGTGTAGCCTACTACTGTAATTGTATGTGCTATACTTTTATACGAATGGCAGTGCGATAGGTTTGTTTACAACAGCATCACTCACAAACACATGAGGAATGTATGCACTAAAACATTACAACAGCCACAACAGCACTAGGTGGTAGGAATTTTTCAGCTCCATTATAATCTTATGGGACCATCATCTCATATGCTATCCATGGTTGATGGAAATGTTGTTATGCAATGCATGATTGTATTTAGCCTGAAGAAGAGAAGATATGATCCATTACCCCCACTCAGCTGTATACACCAGACTCTCTCTCTACTCCATGCATTTGTTCATGCCTGGCCCTATCACATTTCCTTCTCTCCCATGTACAATTCCTGTTCATCCTTTAAGTCTCAGGCAAAGTGGCAGCTCCTCCAGGAAGCCTTCTATGGATGGCTTCAGGGTGGGATATGTACCCCTTATATGTTCTTCCATAAAACTCCGTGTATCTCTATTACTGCCTTTATCAAGTGTTATTTTGTAAATATATTTATATGTCTGACTTTTCTATAAGAATATGAGTTACCTGAGAGCAGGAACTGTCTCTGGTTGACCTTGGTGTATCCCCTATTTATATCACAGTTCTGGCACATATGTTTTATGAATCAGTGTTTTAAGGGTTGATATACTGAAGAGGATTAGGTTCATTTTATGTGGTCCTGGTGGGATTAAAGACAAAGAGACTTCTTGCTTAACATAGGGAAGAATTTTCTGAGCCAGTAGAAGGTTAGAGCTGCCTTGGGAGATCCATCTTGAGTCGTCTGACCTTGGAGGTACCCAAGCATAGCCTGGAAAAACACTTTGATTAGTTCAAAAATGTTTACTTGGTACCTGGGAAACAGGTATGCATAGGTAAAGATAATACTGCTCTTCCCTCAAGGAGTCTATATGGTCTAGGAGTGAACATAACATGCTAGTGAATGCAATGATAGAAGGTTATACAGGGTGCTATGGAAATGGAAAGAGAAATTAATTACTTAAGGAAGAAGGTCAGAGAAGGGGTTTCACGTAGATGACTCAGACACATGTTTG